TCAGAGTGCTGAAGGGCAGGCACATATGATGTTTGAGTGCAACTGATAGGAGACAATAGCACATGATAATTCAACTGGTTTAGATTGTTGTCCAATCATAGGCTATGTTTGTAGGCATATTTTCCTATTATGCGTCAATCATGGCTTTTTATCTTCCCGGTGTGTTTGTGTTGTGCTGAATGTTGACACACATACTCTTTAATAATCAATAAATATGGTTGTGTGCATTACTATGACGCAGAAGCCGGGGGTTGTGTCCTCCTTTTCTTAAAAAAAGATACATGAGCTGGCTAGCAACATAAGCTGAAAGTAAAGGTTAGGGAATTAAGTGACCACAGTTTCACATCCTTTGGTGGATGCTAATCTCCACTGGAGAGTCTGATCTTCGCGACATACAATATCGTCGCCTTCTTCTTGAACCTTGGCAAAATAAGCCCAAACACAAATCACTAGTGGTTGACCATGAGGTTGGCACCAAACCATTATAGAACTTTCCGGGAGAACAAAAGAACACTTTGAAAGCTTATAGGCGACACAAAACCAACTAGGGTTATCTTGCATGTGATCTTTGCATCGCCCTTGTTTAACTTGTTGATACATGTCAAGCACTTGTGCAATGTATCCTTGCATTATGTGCTTTCACTCATAATTATTGCACTTATCTATTGATGTAGGGGGGCTCCTTGTATGTTTGTATTTTGCATTTCAAGCTTATTTGAATAAATGCACATACCAAGGGGGAGCTTCTTCTATGGTCATAGTGTTGCATGTATTCATTCATTGTGCCATGCACCAACCTTATTGTCATCAATTGACCAAAAAGGGAGAGATTATAAGTGCACTTTAACCCCTAATGGTATTTTGGTGTGATGTAATGTGGTTAGTGAGACCAACGACGATTACTAAGCATATCTCAAGTCATTGGTTTCTCAAGGGGTTTTATATGGAGATGATTGAACCCCACTTCAAAAATAAAAAATAAATGTGGTTATCCGACGACTCGAGATTTTTGTTTTGGTTCCTATTAAGTCATAGAACAATCCCACTATTAAGAGGCGTTGAGTTTCTTGGATTAAAGTGTGGGATCGTGCAAAATATATAGACTAGCCATCCTACACCCATCACAAAGAGAATAGCCTTAAACCCTCCCTCCTTTGTGTTTCGGCTTGCCCGCCTTGTGCCCACTAGGTATAGGGGGCGTGCCCACGGAGACCATGGAAATATCTCTAGACACACCCCATGTGCACGGTGCTCGTAACCCCAGTGCCCATGGGGTCTGATGGAAAACCTTCTAGACACTACATGCGCACGACATCTCTGACCCCCGTGCCCACAAGGTCTATGGTTTTCTTCTTTGATGGCCCCAGCCTCATGAGTCCTCATAAATTTAGTGCTAAGTAATATAGTACTGTATATGATTTCCTTCTTCCAATTGCCTAAAGGAGTTTTACATAGATTGGATTATTTTCGATCAATATTCTTTTGGCAAGGAGATGGCGAAAAGAAGAAATATCGACTGGCTAAATGGAGTGTGGTTCTCCGTCCCAAAGACCAAGGAGGGTTGGGTATTCATGACCTTGAGGTTAAAAACATGTCCCTACTTGGCAAATGGTTGTTTAAGTTACTTACGAAAGATGGTGTGTGGCAAACCCTCCTAAGAAGAAAATATGTTGGCTCAAAGGTGGTGTCTCACGTATATTGGGAGCCTGGGGACTCACACTTTTGAGCTGGTCTAATGGCTATGAAGAAACATTTCTTCCGCCATGGATCCTTCACCATTAAAGACGGACAGAAGATTGGGTTCTAGGAGGATAAGTGGCTATGCAATACCACTCTCCGGGAACAATTTCCTGCCATATACAATATTGTGCGTCATAAGGGTGGTACTATCGCCACGCTTATGGAACCCTTTTCACCGAATGTGACGTTCAGGAGAGATTTAATTGGTCCTAGACTTGAATCATTGAACAGATACAACGCCTGTCCATGATGCAATTGTTGCAAGAGACCGATGTATTTCGTTGGAACCTACACGTGATTGGTAATTTCTCGGAGGAGTCCATGTATAGAGCGCTGATCCAGTCATATATACCAGTTGATAATAATAAAATGATTTGGAAGATGAAGATACCACTGAAGAATAAAGTCTTTGCGTGGTACCTTCGACTCGACGTGTCATTCTTACCAGAGATAACCTTATTAAGAGGAACTAGCATGGAAGTGTGCATTGTGTTTTTTGTCACCATGATGAGACCATAAAAGACTTGTCTTCCTATGCAAAATGGTCATTCTAAAGTCATCCAAGTAACTTCCGGCTTGTATCCTCCATGTAGTGTTGCTAATATTTTTGGCAACTGGTTACATGGGATCAATAACAATTTTAGAATTCTTCTCAAGGTGGGAGCACTTACTGTGATACGGTGGTTTTAGCTATGTAGAAATGATAAGATTTTTAACGATAAAAGTTCTTCTCTACTACAGGCTATCTACATATGTACGGGTACGCTCCGTTTAGGGTTGTCTCTACAACGTGTGGAGAATCGAGACATTTTTACGATGGTGTGCACACGCTTGGAGGCTGTCGTGGATTTGTCACGGTAGATGTCCTTAGTGTGAAGACTTAGTCGTGAGGCCAGCGCATCTATGTGGTAGCTTGAGAGGGGTTGAGCGGAACGAGAGACGCGAGGTTTTTACCCAGGTTCGGCCCCTCATGATGGAGGTAAAAGGCTACATCCTGTTTCATTGATATTGATGATGATGCTCACGATTACAAGGGTGCTCGTTGGCTACCCCTCTCTCGAGAGCTATTGACTTGTATGTCTTAACTTGTAAAACTTGTCCCTCTTGGGGTGCCCTGCCCCTCCTTATATAAGTTGAAGGGGTGGGTTACATGACTAGTCCTAGTTGGATTAGGATTACTCTATTACAAGTGGAGTCCTAGTCTTGCTTCCTTCATAAGGAAATATTCCTTATGCTTTCCTCTTAAGCCGGCCCACCATAACATAAGCCGACCTTACCACGAGCCGGCTTCAGGGCCGTTGGGTCTTGTCGATCGTCTGACCCTCCCACCGGGTTACTAATGAATCGCCGAGGTTCGGGCGGGTCTCCAGTGAGTCGCCAAGTATCAGCCAGGTCTCTGGTGAGTCGCCAAATCCGACCTGGTCATATTTCTGGCCGAGTCATACCGCGGGGTATATCTCCGACAGAGGCCATGGGGAGGGATATTTTTACCCGACATGGATGGCAACATGATCTTCGGATTGGCCCTCCTACGTCTTGGGCATTATACAGTCTCTGCATCATTACTTGTATTCCGCCTTTTTCTATTTTTTTTTGGAACTTGGACTTGGTTATGGATGCATGCATCTCAGTTATGCAGATGCTAGGTGTAATGCTTAAACCTTTTAAGTAATAATGCACCCTATATCGAAAGAGGCATGTAACAATCACATTTGGATAGTTGGGGTTAATAATATGCCTTCTTTACCCCTCCCTCTAGTCAGCATCGTGAACCGCGACCCATCGGCTGAGCAAGCTCCCGACAAAAGGTTTCACCCCGACTAAGAGAGAGGCTCTGCAGCTCCCCGAAGCTAGGTCCTTGTCCCGTCCTTGTCCCGGCGACGTCAAGCTCGGAGTATGAGGTCAATGACGCCAATGTGCAAGGCCTCGTATGCCCCAGATGCGGCCACTATGGCGGACCGTCAGAGGTCGAGGCACGGCGTGCTCATTGTGAGAGTGCTTGTACACGCGGTGCCACGGAGAAAGAAGTTGTAGCCGGATCTGGGACAAGCGCCACGCCCGGGCGGTCCATTCCCTCAAGGCGGACCATGGTTGGGCCGTCAGTGCCCCGCCAAGCCTTCCACAAAGGAGGACATCTACGGTGAGGCTCCGATCCATCAAGCTCTAGCGCTGAGCAGATTAGCATTGATCTGTATTGCATCTCTCAGGGCTGCTTCCGCGACAACGACGATAAAGGAGGGAAGGACAAGGGCGGCGGTGGATGAATTTCCTCTATAATCCTATGAATTAGTAGAACACATACCGAATTTTGGTAGTCCGATGATATTATATGAACAATATCCTACGTCATGTATGAACTATATCCTTGCTCACAACTCCCCTATGCTATGCTCCTAGTTTTTTTTACGGGAATAACTTCCGATCTATTTATCAACTGTCAAGGTAGTACAAAGAACACCAGAAGTAAAAAACACATCTATGTCCGTAGACCACCTAACGACGACTACTTGCACTGGAGCGAGCCGAAGGCGCGCCGCCGTCTTTGCCCCTTCCTCATCGAAGCCGGGCAAACCTTGTTGCAGTAGACAGTCGGGAAGTCGTCGTGCTAAGACCCCATAGGACCAGCGCACCAGAACAGCATCCGCCGCCGATGAAGAGAAGCGTAGATCAGAAGGATCCAATTTGTAGACACATGAACACGGACGAACGAAGACAAGATCCACATGGATCCACCGAAGACAAACGCCGACCGAATCCTGTGAGATCCGTCGGAGACAAACCTCCACACGCCCTCCAACAATGCTAGAAACACCATCGAAACGGGGACAAGGCGGGAAGAACCTTATTCATCAGCAAAGAGCCGCTGCCTCGCCTCGCCTTTCTGAGGAGGACACAAACCCTCAATGAACAAACGACCCTTTGGGAACTGGTGCGGGTTTTCCTGCTTGCGTTGCAGGCAGCTCACATGTTCCCGTCCCAAAATAGGTGTTGCAATTTTAGTACAACTTTGGACTAACATTAGTATTAAATTTGATACACTATATATATGTTATCCCCATGAACTGGCAATGACACTGTAAGTGGCACAAATACAGATACCAGCCGTGCAAGACTGCAAGCAACAAGCCGCGCATGAGTGTTCCCTCCGGCAGAATGCCGTGGCACTCTCAGCTGATATTTCCCAACCCGTGGCAATAAGCGAGTCCCCGCTGCTACTGCGACGAGGTGACTGGTGGGGTGCGCGGGATTGAGTCGCCTATATGAGCCGCCTCATCAGCACGATCGGCAGCGGCGTCCGCTCACCGATGGCGTCCGCGGCCATCGCCGCCGGCGGCGGCACACATAAGCGCCCGCGATGGCCCAGTGTGCGCATGGGAAGGACAAGAGTCAGGGGTTGTTGCAGCTGCAGCTGTAGCGGCACCAAGACGGAGGCAGAACGTGGGGACACGAGGCTCGTGGTGATCGTGGGGGCAACGGGCACCGGCAAGACCAAGCTGTCCATCGACGCGGCCCTAGAGCTCGATGGCGAGGTGGTGAACGCCGACAAGATCCAGCTTTACCGCGGCCTCGACGTCACCACCAACAAGGTGATGCCCGCCGACCGCCGCGGCGTCTTCCACCACCTCCTCGGCGCCATCCGCGCCAACACCGGCGAGCTGCCCGCCTCCTCGTTCCGCTCGCTCGCCGCCGCCACGGCGGCCGACATCGCGGCCCGCGGGCGCGTGCCAGTGGTGGCCGGCGGGTCCAACTCCCTCATCCACGCCTTCCTCGCCGAGCGATTTGACGACCACGCCCCTCGGGACCCATTCGCCGCTGCGGCGACCGGATACCGGCCGGCGCTCAGGTTCCCCTGCTGTCTCCTCTGGGTCGATGTCGACGAGGCAGTTCTGGACGAATACCTCGATCGGCGCGTCGACGATATGCTGGGTGAGGGCATGGTCGAGGAGCTCCGCGAATACTTCGCGACAACGTCGGCCTCCGAGCGGGCCTCGCACGCCGGGCTGCGCAAGGCCATCGGAGTACCGGAGATCGGAGACTACTTCGCCGGGCGCAAGAGCCTCGCCGCCGCAGTAGACGAGATCAAGGCGAACACGCGGGTGCTCGCGGCGGCGCAGGTCGGCAAGATCCGGCGCATGGCAGACGGCTGGGGCTGGCCCGTTCGGCGCCTCGACGCCACCGGCACCGTCCTTGCGCGGCTCGCGGGCGCCGGGCGCGACGCCGAGGCCGCGGCGTGGCATCGCGACGTGCGCCGGCCGGGCCTCGCCGCCATGCGGCAGTTCCTACGCAGCCAAGGACTGTCCAGAGACGACGACGCCGACGAAGAGGACGGAGTAGTGACACGGAGACAATGCCATGGCATGGTGGGGTAAGAAGAACAGGAAAAGGCTTCGGGTTCGGGCGCGATGCCGAGGCCGCGGCATGGGATCGCGACGGGCCTCGCCTCCATGCGGCCGTTCATGGCAGGCAAGGACTGTCCGGACACAAGGACGACGCCGATGACGAGGACGGGTCAGTCGCCCGGAGACAATGCCGTGGCATGGTGGGGTGAGAAGAACAGGGAAAAGCTCGAGAGCTTTTTCGGGTTCAAAATTTTCTGATCCGCCGCCGATTTTGGAGGGCCCGGCGGCTGACCGGACAGGGCCGGTGGGGGCCATAGCGGTGCCACGGCGAACGGCGCGACGACAGAACACGGAGACAAGACAAGAGAAGTGTCAAGTTTTGCAGGGGGGCTGTGAATTCTCTCTCCCCCCCTCCCTCCCTCCCTGGATCGAGAGGCTCTTCTCCTTCCTCTTCTTCGTTCTTCAGAATCTGCTCTGCTTAGCTAGCGACACCACACCACACCACTGTACAATACTACAGTGCAATCTAGTCCGCCATGTTCAAAATTTGAACTAGTTTTGCTTTTTGGCAGCTGCCTATCTTGAACAGTGTTGTTGAGGAGCGTGTGGTTTTTGTTGGGGCTGGCTTTTCCTTTGCTGGCCCTCCTTTTCCTCTGCATCACAGATTGGCGTCTCTAGAGTCTGGACAAGTGCCTTTTTTGACCTGGCTTTGCATCTTGCATGTTATGTGCCGATTGATCATTTGGAGCCAGATTTTACTTCACCCTACCATGTTATGTTGGTCGTTTCTGGTTGATTCATTCCTCTTCTTTTTTCTATGTAATAAACAATAAATAAGCGTGGATCGCTTGTTCTGGTTTGAAAATATTCCTGAGGGTGCGTGCGAGGGCTGATTAGATTGTAATCTCATGCTTAGTGTGTGATTATGGGGGAGGGGATTGTGCTGGACGCGTGAGTTGGTGTTCTTGTTGTGCCAGCTAGGAAGACAGTTGGAGTCCAGACGTGTGCTCTTCTCCATTCATTTCTTTTCCATTTTACTATTTTCTGTCTACATACTGCGTGTCAGGGTATGTGCGATCCACTATACCGGCATCCCCGGTTTCTGGCTGCGGGCCTTTGCGTTGCTACGGTCCACCGGTCTCGCCGCTTTTAATCTTCCCGTTTATGCTAAATAATTATGGACTCCACTACAAATCTGACGACAGATTTTAACCATGCAAATTCGAATGTTTCTTAGGCAAATTATGTTGTTTGAAGATGGCAGGTTTAGTTGGCGAGAATGACAAATCTGTCTCAGCTCATTTTTTTGTTAGAAATTTGCCGTGCTTGCAAACTAAATTTGTGACCATCACGTCAATATAAATCGTCATGAGAAACGTTAGATTTGTCATGATACGTCAGATTTTTAGTGTTCCCGTTAATAAAAATGAACTTACGTTGCTTCTAATAGGATTTATTATTTATATATATAGGCACAGTACTACCAGTTCAACGTCGATCCACATTTAGCTCTTGTATACAACCATTACATGTCGCTGAGTGAGAGCTTACACTGATGTAACGACGTGCTTGCGTTTGGTCTCGTCTTTTCTTTTTCAAGGATTGATATCTTGACTGAGTTCTCCCTGATTGGGTGTCTTAAGCTTGCTCACAGCTCATTATCCTGTCAAGTGGTGTTCCCCTGCGAAAATATCATTACCTCGGCAGTAGTCCGCCAATGCCAATTCATTATCAAGATGATTAAAAAACCCACAGGAAAACAAGTACACCATGAAATCCATGATCGTACTATCTTAGGGAAGCTATATCTTAAGTTCTTAGATATCGAATCACGATAAATAAAAGAACATGGATATACAACTGTATAGGCGAGTCTTACAATCTATACTATTAGAATATAGCCACATGGTTAACATCAACTACTCAACAATCAACATAGGGGTGTAGAGGAGTCCAATCTTTAGGCGGCGACACCACTAAGGAGGAAC